GGGCGGATGCCCAGAACCTCGGGCACCCTAAGGTGAAAATTTTAGAAATATGTATATATGTGTCATTCAAATGCACATATATGCAGATATTTATGTTAATTTTGTATTTTTTTGCATTTATATATATCCCAAGTAACTTTTCCAAGTAGATATATACACATGAATGTTGAAACACGTTCAAAACCTTAAATCATTGAAAATTTAGTGAAAAGACCAACAAGTCGATGGTGTATAGTCTGAAACTCTTCAATCCATACTCCTTAGTGACACATGATCATGATACACAAATAAAAGATAAGATGAAATACAAAAGAAAATTATACAATCAATAATCCGAATATCCAATACATTTCAAAAGCAATCTATTTGGGGTGTTTGTAGGGTTCAGAGTTTTTATTTTGTTTTCATCTTTTTCACTTGAGGGGTTTAGATTACCTTCAATACTCTTTGAAGACAAATTTGTGGGTCAAAAGGACCCAAAATGCCCTTATGGGGCCACTTTTATTACACAAAACTGCGCTCAGGCCCTGGTCGTGCAGGTACTAGCAACTAGGGAGGACCATCCAGGCCTAGGATGCGCTCTAGGGTCCTTCGGGCTCCTAGGCAATGTGCAGCCCTTTTTTTTAACAATGGCGGTGAATATAGAGAATATGAAAGATCAATGGTGTGGTTTTTTCTCAGTCAAAAGAGAGTGGGTGGAGCTCCTTAGCAGCACATCCCTCAAAATGTGCCCATGACTGCTAAGGATGTTGCACTGATCCTAGTGGTGCCCTCTCTCGCAAGAGCATGGACAACAGATTTTTCCTCCCTCTACACGTGGCGAAGCTCACTCGAAGAAGCATGTGAATGTGAAGTATATTGTCAAAAATCGATTTCAAACTCCAAGGGCAAAGATTTGGTCACCTAAAGAAAAACCTTGTAGCTGCCTCCCTCAACAACTAGTGGTGAACCCTAAGAGGCATCGTATCGTTTGAGACCTTCTAGGAGTGCGAGTACCATAGCCATTGTTGAATCAACAATTCTGAGATATCCGGAGACTTGAGTGGTCACCACAGGGAGGATCTGGTGATTCTCATGAGCTGAGACAAGAGGATGGCTTTCCAATTTGTGCCAAGTCCACCACTGAAAAAGCATTGAGCTTTTTCCCTAACCCAATAAATAATGAGGGAGCTGATTCACGCCCTGATTGCCTGTACTAATTATTCCTTCAAAAAAGTGGTGATTGCATTCAATCCAAATGCTCCAAAAGGTCGTCATTATCGGTGCCCTCCACAGCAGCAGGACCTTGGGGTAGCTAGTGGAGTAAAAGGCTTTAAATAGTTGACAAACACTGTGAGGAGTCACCGATGACCATTCAAAGGACTTTAGCACGGAGGCCCATAGTTACATCACAACCAGGCAATGTAGGAAGAGATGTTCACTCGTCTCTCCCTCCCCTCTGCAAATAGTACATCGGTTTAAGAATTGAAATCTTGTTCTTTGTAGGTGTTTGATGGTGAGCACTCAATTCTGCAAAATGACCCAAATGAATGCTTGGACTTTGGGTGGCACAATGGTATGCCATGCTCAATTCTGGATGGCTATAAAGAGAGGGCTCCAGGGGCTGGTAGGAGGAGGCCACCAAGAACTTCTCATTGCTGGCTTTGGACCATATGATTCTGTCAGGCCCTACTCTAGATAGGAACTTTATTTTTTAGGAGGCCCCAGTAATTTGGCAAGTTCTTCAGCTTCTGAGTCTATTAGGGCCCTTCCAAACATTGATATCGGCCCTTTGAGTTTCTTGCATACGTGGTCGATTGTAGTCTCGTGTGAGCTTGTCAATTGAAGAGGATTGAAATTGTTGGAGAAACTCTTTCCCTCATTAGTAGGTCTTTCCAGAGCGTACCCTGTCCCTGTCTCCTTTTGCAAATCTTATGTTCCTCACGAATGCTTGCTTTCTGGTCCATATGCTTCGGGAACCAGCCATGATAATCAAGGCCATATTCATGTGCAATGAGCTTTTGCTAGAGTAGCCCGCGTTGGCAAAGCGCCACCAGCATTTCCCTAGAAGGCCGGTGTAGCATTGCTTCAGTTTTTTGGATCCCTAGGCCTCCACTTTTAGGCTTGCAGGCCCTATCGTAGGCAGCAAGCTTTAGTATGGGAAAATGATTTTGTGTTCCTGAAGGTATTAATTGCAATGGATATCGTATCTAACAGTCCCCTTTTTACAAACAATGTTACAATACCTCGTTGATGCAGGATATGCAAATACCTTAGGTTCTCTCATTCCATATAGAAGTGTTTGCTATCATTTGAAGGAATATGCTCATAATCATCAAGCATCCCAATATCGGAAGGAATTGTTCAACTTACGACACTCTTCCGTGCACAATGATATCAAGAGAATATTTGGTGTATTAAGAAGCTATCTTGTTTTGTAGACATTGAAGACACATGTCAAGTTAGTGAATGTACGTTCACCCTACATAATTTTATCCAGATCCTGACATGTAGTGTTAACAGGATATACAACAAATATGTGTGTGTGTGTGTATGTGTGTGTGTGTGTGTGTGTGTGTGTGTGTGTGTGTGAGAGAGAGAGAGAGAGAGAGAGAGAGAGAGAGAGAGAGACGACGACAC